TTACGCCACTTTTTTTCCATTGCTGGAAGATACTGATCATAAGCACTTTGATGGCGATGATCAGCGAAAAGTTGGGCGAGTAAGCATGCATTAGAAAGAAAGTTTTGAGCACAAGGATTGTAAACAGTAGAAAAACAATACGTCATGTTATATAATAATTGTAAAAATTGCATATATCTTTCACAGTTATTCCAATCATCATCATACAAAGCATTTTGTGGAAATTTTTGGTTGTAAAATAATGTTAACGGGCCCTTGTACTCAATTGCCTTTGTTAACATGTCATAGGTGGAATTCCACCTAGTTGGGCAATCGGTTCTAATTTTTATTACCCTTATCTTTTGTTGTTTTAGAAAACACTTCCATTCTTGGTATCTCATGTTAGAGCTATTAATAGACATAATAGCATCTCTGATTTTGCTGTAGTATGGGCCAATTGCCCGAACTCCATCCTGTACACATAAGTTAAGTACATGGCAAACACATCTAGTATGAAGAGCTTCACCGTCTAATAGTACATCGGTTAAGTTTTGTTTGATAAGATTAGCTGTGTATGTCATAGAGGTTGCATTATCAAAAGTCATAGACATCATTTTATCTCGAAGGTTGTATTCGTCTATTGCTTGCATTAAATGGTGAGCAATGTTAATGCCGGTGTGTGGGTATTCCAGCATTTTGAAATGTATTATTCTTTTTTGTAACATCCATTGATCATCTACCCAATGGCAAGTCACACATAAATAGTGATATTTATAACCACTATCCCAAGAATCGGCTGTTAAAGATACTCTACAGTTAAGGTTACTCAATTCGGCTTGTAACCGGACTTTGTACTCTAGGAAATTTTTCATTGCGGCGGAACGAACGGTTTTCCTAGAGATTCTTTTATGTTGGGGTTGTAGTGCTTTGTTAATGTAGGTGTTGAATGCGTCACTTTCCTAGAAAAGAAAAGGTTGTTCGGCGTGTACTATCATTTTTCCTAGTTCATCCCTATCCCTCTCATAGTTGTATGTAAAGCCGTATGGATGGAATTGGGAAATTTTGGGCTGGGTTGGATCACTAGCTGGTTTTGCACAAGCTTTAATGTGTCTAGATAAGTGTCTCGTCCCGTTTTTGGTAACTGTCGTGAATACACTATTACATGTTTTACATTTTGCCCATTGTTCACCATCTTTACTTAGGACAAAATAACGCCATACCTCACTCCTTCGGTTTTTCAAAAGTAGCATCTCAGTTTCGGTTAACCATTCATGATGTGTGTGATGGTTAGTAGTGGGACTAGTGGGAGTGGCAGTAGAAGGGGTAGAACCGGAGCCCGGAGGGAATTCGGGTACTTTCTTGGCTACCTTGGCTAGAACAATAGTTTTGTTGATCACCGATATAATTAGGTGGAAATTGGTATGGTGGTAGTGGAAATTGGTTTAGTGGTGGTGCTGGAAATCCCGACGTATTATATGGCTCATAGCCCGGGGGGAAGTAAATGGGGTCATTGGTTTGACTCGTAATTTGGGGGCTCGTTGTATTTGGTGGTTCCCTAGAACTACTACTACGGATAAGTCGGCCTTTCCCCCTAGACCTAGATGATGGGTTGTTCGATGCCATAATTAACAATTAATTTTTTAATAAAAAGTGGTTAACTATAATAATAATAATTAATAACAACAATTTTAACAATAAAAATATCAATAATAATAATTAATAACAACAACTATAACAATAACAATAACAACAAAAATAAATAATAACAACAATTGTAACAATAATAATAATTAATAACAACAATTATAACAACAACAATAACAATTAACAACAATAATAATTAAACAAGATTATTCTAATAATAACAATAAAACAATAATAAATTTAAGATTAGTTTAGATCTTACAACCGTGCTTCAACGCTCCACTAATTACGATTACGAACTTTTTAATTTTTTCCGATATTAGGAAAATAATTAGAGAATTTAAGAGAATAATTAGAGAATTTAAGAAAATAAGGATTATTAGATATTTAGAGAATATAAGAGATAAGAAGAAGAGATTGTGATTTTGTGATTTGGGAATGAAATGGAGGTGAGTATTTATAGAACTTTTGGGGAGCAATTTGGCAAAAAACTAGCCGTTTTTTTGGCTTATTAAGGAGCTAGAATAAACGGTAACATTACCGTTGGCCCGCGGGCCGTTCCGGGCCGTGCCTGCGGGCCGGCACGACGGGCCAGCACGGCGGGCCATGGCCGTGCTCGTGCCGGGCCGTGCCTGGGAATTCTCAACCCTGTCCGTGGCACGGCCCGTGGCACGGGAGTTGAACTTCGTGCCGTGCCGTGCTTGAATTCGGGCCGTGCCGGGCTGCGCCGAACGACGGGCCGTGCCGGGCGGCACGCGGGCCAACCCGGCCCGTGCCCAGGTTTAATCGCAGCCAAATTACATAAAATTTGTTGGGTTATTGTACCTCAGGTGATAGTGTGATACTGGGTGCCAGCAACAACATCACTAAATTTAGTATTCTTTTTTAGAAAGAGAGAGACAACAAATGCAAACACAAGGACATCGAAATATAGTAGATATAATACTCCGTATTTTTATAATATTTTTATATATATAAATTATTTATTTTATTTATTTTTAGAAAAAATTGCGAGGAAGGTCCTTTTAAGTGGTCGACTTTGTGAGGAAGGTCCTTTTATGAAAAAGGTGGCACAAAAGGTCCTTTTATGACGTTTGGGTTGTGAGGAGGGTCCTTTGACCAAACTCGACCTCCGTTTTCCGGCCAAAAAAAGTCACGTGCTGTGCATGTGACCACTTAAATCAGCTTTTTTTTCTTCGTTTCTTTCCTCTTCATCTTCTTCCTCCCTTTCAATTAAATCAGCTTTTTTTTTAAATTACTTATTTAAATTAATCACTTAAATCAGTTTTTTTTATTAAAATTAATTATTTAAATATTATGTAAGTGTGTATAAAATAATATGAGTCATTAATTGAGGCAATAATATGAGTCATTATTTATTTAAACACTCACTCCGTTTATTTTTATTTACAACTTGAGCACAAATTGCGGTTCACGAGGCAAAAGATTGAAGGGCAAAGATTAAGAAAGTATAATGGTGATTAATATATTATAGGAGTATGTAATTAAGGTGGAAAGAGAATGTTTGGATAATAAATCAAACCACCCACTGCCACCACCAAGACCAGCCACCACCACCACAGCCTTCACCAACACCACCGCCGCCTTCACCACCACCACTACCACCCCCACGAAACCACCACCACCCTCATGTCATTCCCTCCTTTTTCCAGCAGCCTCCTCCCTAACCAAAAAACCCAGAAATCTTACATTCCCCTCCACCACCAGCCCTAACCACCTCCAACGACCACCCCACCACCCAAACCCACCACTAACCCAGACCACCCCACCACCCAAACCCACCTCTAACCCAGACCACGCCATTTCCAGCACATTTTCTGCAATTCACCGAAATTTCAACTAAATTAAATTAAACTCAGGAAATAAAAAACGGAAAGATAATAGAGAAGAAGCAAATCAACTGCCATCAATAGATCTGAAAACCGCTCTTTTTTTCACAATCGGCATAATTTCATTAACCGATTTCTTCATTCTCCGGCAACACCACCCACTCTACGGCAACCCCCCACCACGCAATCATCAACACCGATCATTACTAATAAGCTAATCTCATCAATTTGATTAATTGAAGAAATCGTGGCCTCAAATTGAAATAATTGAGCAAAGGGTTATCGATTTGGGCTAAAATTGGAGCTTGCGGCTTTGGATTATGGGATAGCGGCGTTGCTCAGTAGCGCGGTGGTGTGGTGCTGCTCGGTGCAGAGTGGTGCGACAGTGGCTGGTTGATTTGGTGCGATTATTGGTGTTGGGCTGGCGGCCAATTGTTTCTGTTGGTGTGCGGCAGTTCGGTGGTGGTTGTTGCCGGCTGCTATGGCCGAACAGGGGTGAGATGGGGCTGCTGTGGTCAGTGTTGTGGGATGGTGATTTGAGGTTTAGTTGGTGGTAGTGGAAGATGCAGTTGGCGATGTTGGTGGCCACTTTGGTGGTAGGGAGGAGGGTGAAAGAGATGAAGAGCAGAGATGAAGAGGGTGAATGGATGGTGGGTAGATTAGGAGATGAGTAAATGGGTGGTTAAAATTAGGTTAATGATTTTAGATTAGACAAAAAAAGTTATTGTGATTAAAATGAGATAAGGGTAACATTAAGAAAATCTGAATTTTTAAGTAAGGGTAAAATAGTAATTTTCAGAGTTTTTGTTTACCCAAAATGGAAATAAAATAGAAAGTTGCACATAATTGTGAGCGGACTAAAATGACAAAAGTTACAAATAAAAATAAACGGGGGGAGTATTAGTTTTCCTCCATTTGGATAGCAAAATGGGAGGTGAGGGAATTGGGAGGAAGAGAAATGGAAGGATGTTAATTCCTTCCACAATTAAGAAACAAATATTTCCACATTAGAGAAGATTTGGAAGGAAAATCGGTTTTAATTTTCTCTAGCACCTATTGTTCTTTTGTCACCTCTACCACAAGCCGTCATCTTCCGCCGCATCATTCGCCGCCATATCCAAACTTTTCTTCTTCTTTTTGAAAATTTGATCTTAAGAAATTTTGTTTTCCAAAATTGATTTTAATGTATAAAAAATTCTAATGTTGAGATACATAATTTCTGGTTTTGATTTACAAAAATTTATTTTTCATGAAATCTGATTTTTAATTTTATGAATCAAGTTTCAGAAAATTGATTATGATCTTCAAAAATTGATTTTCTGAAAAAAAAAAAAAAAGGTTTTGATATTCGGAAATCAATTTTCAGAAAATACGGTCTTCTTTATCTTAAACAATGATCTGCCAACACTAAGTTAAGGCTTCCTGAAATTGGGATCAGAAGGCCTCAGCCTAATTTCTTGTTTCTTAGGGCTGACTTCAGTAAGATAACCCAACTAGGAAGCTGCAACAAAAACTACACAAAATCCCTGAGCATTTCTAGATTCCAGAGCAATTTATTGAATTAGTTTTCAGACAAAATGCAACATTTTTTTTTTCTTCTCATTTCCCTCTCTGGAGAAAGCACTTTACTGCATTTCCAGTCAAAAGGGCAAGTTATTCAGTATCAAAATCACGGTGTTGTAAAAATTTGGGAGGTGTGTACAATACTGAAATTGCAAAAGAATCTCAACTTCTTTCCAATGTTCAAAATGGAGATGAAAAGCAAAACTGCACACCAGTTTTTCCATGATCATGCTCGAATTGCTTCACAATGTGACAATAGTTAACCTGTTCAATCAGAAAGGAACTAAATTTTAAGATCATGAACACTTTAACATTTGAATAACTGAAGATGAAGGTAGCAGAGCTATTATATGTATACAATGTCTCATATAGAATTAAATTGGAGTAAATATACTAACCTCAAGACGTAATAATTTTGTCGGAACAATGACACCACATCCAACAGTACTTCGAAATGACTGCATGAAGCCCTTTGTGGAGAACTTGCGCCACTCGTTCTCTGTTAATTTGACAAGGTTGCCAGTAGAAGCAAATATATGAGCATGGACCCCAGCTTCCTTGAGGATTGTCAATGGAAGATCAAATGAAAGATCAGCGAATGCAGAGACAGCAAGATCTCCACCAACAGCATCCCTCTCAGAAGCAGCAACACTGGAATCACCATCAGGTTTATCTCTAGTTTGTCTTTGCGGTTCAGTAGGTCCAAGTCCTCGGCACTTAAATCCCAATACTGAACTTGGCCCTCCTAATGAACAAACTGGTGAAGTATTGCCACCCAAGAAAAATCTATCAGGCAAAGATGATGGTCTATCCAAAAAACCCTTCCCCCATGGGAAAATAAGGCCAGCAGAGACTCCAAGATTAAGTGCTGCACGACAAAATCCCAAAGGCACTGCATAGCGGAAATCACATTCCTGTCGAGGATATTAGAGCAAAATAGTTGACTTAGTTATCTTGAAAAACAGGCCTGGATAAAATCAACTAAAAAGGGCCACAGCTCATAATTCACAGAGACTAATCACATCCATCAAAGCAGCTGGTAGGGTGGACAATAGATAACTTTGACAAATCTCAAAATCTGGTAAATGAAGCTAAAGATTATGACACTTCACCATAATAATCTTCATCCCTATTATGAAAAACTATCATCACCCAAATAAAGCAGTTAGATCACAGGTTCCAGTGTCAAAGCCAAACTCCAGGGAATAAAAACTATATTAAAGAGTTTAGCTGTTATTACTGTTTGTTTTCAGTTATTCTGAAAACTGAAATATGGGAAGCAAAAAAAAATATTATTTCCAGTTTTCTGTTGTCACGTTTCAAAACTACCAAGATTAGTATAAGTAAAAAACTAAAAGTTAGTCATTGGTTCTTAAACAAGACATATTATATGAAAGTCTTGAAAACAAAAACTAAAAACACAACACTAAATCAAAATGAGCACTGAGCAAAAAGAGGCAAATACTTCACATTGCAAGAGCAAGTCCCAAGTCTTAATATGAATTGCAGGACAATGCTCGGAAATCTACAACCTCATTTATATGCTAAGAGTATAAAGTTTCAAGATGATAGTGAGTGCACACTGCATAAGACACAAACTCATTTCAAGCTACCATGGCTAATTGGCTATCCACAAACCAAGTCCTAGAATAACCAGCATAGTGTTTCAAAATGAGCATCACTGCACCTCATAGAGTTTCATAGGTTTGCTAATGATTCATTCCCTCCCAAAAAATCCAAAAAAGGTTACTTAAGCCTTTAATCACTTCAATGAGTATACAATGAGTATACAACAAGGCCAAATAGGCCACAGGTGCAGAAATAAAGAACTGTCAAGTTTTTATAGGTTTATTTTTTTTTTTTGAGAGAAAAGTTTTTATAGGTTTATAATAGACTTCAAATTGGTATATTTCTCAAAACCGACCTAACACCTACAAAAAAATGGATATAGGCCAAGGAAGGATCAAACAAGAAACAGCAACCCAACAACCGTTGAATCAATGTTTATTCTGACAAAAAGACTTTTCAAAGTTCAGGATTCATAGGAAATATATTGCCTTATCTAGTTTTCGTACACGAAGAGGGTGGGATATTTATTTTGGGAAGTCTTATAACTATAATTGAAGAATAATAACCAATTCTTCATGTCAATTAGAAGAAAATATACAAATCTAACACTAGTTAGAGACTGCATCTGAAGGACATATATCGAAAGAGGATAGCGAGCAAGGTATCGTTGACCCAGAAATTTCAAAAGCACATCACTTTACAGTTAATGCAGAGAAAATATTGATAACTTTTGAGCACAATGCCAAAAAAAGGTAGAAGGAGCTCCCCTTTGACAAGAAGTAGCCTTTATCTTCTTAATTTATCTACTTCCCAGAAAACTGTAAACAGAAAAACATACACTCAACTTTCACACAACTGGCCATACAATGTAAAATTGCCACACACATAAAATTCCATCTGCAACAGTGAAAAAAATAAAGTGAAAAGATATGATAAGGCTGGAGGGATCAAAATTGGTAGCAGATCATAGTCTAAAACCAGGTTATATGATAGGAGATCAGGGTAACAAACTGCTCAAAGGTACATACAACCTTTGATTTTTATTTTGAATCAACTTGAACAGATACATCCAACAATTCCAGATAACTGTGAAAGAATAATGTCATACCTGCCGCAGAAAGCGTGCACTCCGACTATCAGGATTAAGGCCAGCTAATAAAGTAGTAAAACTATAAGCATATCCCCGAGTAGGCCTCAAAGGTGAATTCCTCTGATCAACTTTATATGTATACTTTAATGATGACAATAAACTATGCCCCAGCTGTCTCCTAACTGATTCACCTGCCATTTGAGATGGATCTGTCAAGGTGCGCCATGTCAAATTGTATACCATTTCATGATTCCTTGTTGATATTAGACCAAGACCGAGGCCTAAAGCTTGTTCTTTGTATGAGGAAAACTTTAGCCAGTCTTGCGAGAGTAGAGATGCTCGAGCAAACACGGGAGAGGGCCAATGTCTCAATCTGGGAAGTGTAACACCAGTACTCACCTCTGTTGTCTGATCCCATCCATAAGACACAGATCCATCCCAAACATCAGCATAACCAAACAGATTCTTGAGCTTCAAACCTCCTTCAAGGGACCAAGATCTAGCCTATAAAGGCAATCGTCAGAATTAGCAACACATCCCATAAGTATAATAGCAGCAGAAATTAAAGATGGAAGAAACAGAACATCTATGAAAAGAAATAAATGAATGTCAAAGCCATAAGCCTGTAATGGTGAATGCTATGATCCTTCTTAAAACAAACACAGCATTAAGTTCAAATGTCTATCCGCTGCCAGCACAATGGTAATTAAAAGGCATATAGGGTATACACTGAAAAATGAATATTGATTGATAGTTAGATCGTCTTAAATGTTAGGTTGCATATGGCTATTAATCTATTATTAATGATAATTGGGAAATAGTCGATTTCATTTTGCCTATAAAGGGGATTATAAGTTTTCCTAAAAACTGAACCTACACACATCATTGTAAGCTCTTGCTGACTCTCTCAGTTGATAAGGTTCCCACATCATCTGGACTACCCTTGCACTCTGATAGGCTTGACAGTGACTCTACGACTAATCTTGTAGGCCAACAAGACTCAACCTTGTTTATTTTCAATGAAACTAGACAGCTACTTCTTTCCCTTCATGATTAATGATCCAAGTGTAGGCTTTTCACCCCTCCCCTCCAATTTTCTCTAGCTAATGCCTAGTGATGCCTGAACTCTTTTGTTTGAATGGAGACTCTGAATTTAGAGTCAATTTTCTCCAAGTTTTGCAAATTACTTGAATTTACCGTCTCCTTATCTTTCATTGATGTATGTCACAGACAAGGAATATCTGGCAAACCCAGAGAGCTCTCAAAAGTTCTTTTAGCATTTTACATAATTGATGAAGAAGACTCCCTCTTTAAGGGGTAAAAATGAGTTTCCGCTGATGATGACTTTTAATGTTGAGTTATTAACTTGTTATCTTAAGGCTTTGAGGATGCTATGGTCAATACTCAATAAACTTATGAGATTTCAGAAATTGTGAGGCTGGCAGCACTAGTCTTAAAAGGAATAGAAATGAGTCAGTGACACCCCTACTATGGATAGATACCCTATGTATCAACCTTATTTCTCCTTGTTTAAATAGCAAGTTCTCCAACATGAAAAAAAAACTTGAAGATTCTCAATCAGGGATTAATAGCTAAGATTGTATATAATCAATTGCAGAGAATCAGCCAAGCAGAGCACACATCAAATCCAAGCAGAATAAGTCTTTATCATTAATACAAACTTCAAGAGTTATCCTCCTTTCCACTATCTTGTATGACTTATATACTTCATTGGTCATAAAATAGATAGGAGCTACCCTCTTGTCCCAAAAAACTGCAACTAGATAGACAAACCTAAGTACCCTTAGTTTCAAATGCCAAATTTTAGTGGTCTTGTCATCCATTTCTTATAGATCAGTAAATCCAAGTAGAAGCATTCCCAGGTTGGTCTGTCCAGTTTCCAAACCTTTGAGCAGAGTTACAAACCACTTCACATAGTCTGCAAAGGGACTGGTTCTTATGTACAAACCATGCAATTTTTGGCTGAATCCTACTATCAACTGCAAGGCTAATAGATCTATTTTTTGAATTTATGCAAAGCTATATAAGTCCTGTAATTTTATACTCTAGACTTTTGGTACACTGCCAGAATCAGCCCCTTTGCTTGCCAGAAGTAAGGCTTCATACATCCTGACTTCTTTGGACAGAATTGCAAGTTTCATGCTCTCCTCTTTTAAATATTTGCTAGTGGTACAGCTTCAGTCCCAATGCCATCCTCAGGCATACAATATTGGACCTACTATGGCTCTCTTTCCATTGTACAAGGGTTTACAAAAGTCCATTTACACAAATCCTGTCTTAATAAAACCCAGAATATCATTTCTAAAACCAAACTCACTAAAATTACATCTCCACAAAGCACTTCAACAGTTTGTCAACATCAACACAATCCAATCATCATAGTGAATTAAAAACTCTTGACTAAACAACAACACACATGTTAAACAAAAGCTAAAACCCTATAATTAATTACCATTTTGGGCCAAGTACCTAAAAAGCTAAAACCCAAGCCTATTGAAGACCAATAACTTCTCTGTGACGTATCAGAGTTTTAAGTTCAAAAAAACAGTGAAATATAGATTTCATTAAAAGAAAAACTCCAAGGTAGCTTAAATAAAGCTAACAATTGTAGTATCTAGAGGTGGAGTTAGCTTTAGAAATAATACAGTAGTTCATTTTCCCTTTTACCAATGCAATAGCTAGTTTTCTCATATACAATATTTTAAGCAGGTAATTTGAAACTAACCTCTAGTAATTCTGAGGAGATCTAAGAGATAACATCCACCACGAGTCCACAACACCAAACAACTACTTCTGCTAAACAAGGCCAAAGTCACTAGATAGACAGTTAAGTCATTCTAACAATCTCAGGCTGCAGCAGTACAGCACCACGCTTTTCCATAGCGTTTATAAGTTTATCACAGTCCAAAATCAGAACTCTAACCTTACAAACTTACAATCGAGCCCCATAACCCGAATTAATTATCCAAGAAAAATTCTAACAAAGGATCAACATTGCAAACCAGTATCATTCAAGAGTTCAAATCATGCTAATACTCGTAAAAGTACTCACATCTCGATTCCACACCAATACCCTATCCTCGGCCCCAAATTTGTTATAGAAATACCACATTATCATACAAACGTTCATCAAAAGTCAAACCACTACAACATTACAACCAGCAATCTGATAATTTACTTAAGCACAACAAAACTCAAATAAAACAATAAATTCAAAGAAAATGATCAAAATGTATCATCAGAACATTACCCCAGGCTTAGTGAACAGCCCAATTTCACCAGTGAGAGGATTCTTCGTCTCCGAAACCTCGATAACAACATTCGCAGTACCAGGCAACTCCGTCGGTCCAGAATCAATCGTAAAATTAACCGTATCAAAAATATCAAGCTGCCGAAGCTTCAAATTAGCGATTGCAGCAGCTTGAAAGATCTCCTGAAGCGTTGAAGCTCGTTTTAGGTCATCCATAATCTCAGCTTCAATTACAGAATCCTTAGTTTTGAGATTCCCTTTGATAATCACATCATGAACTCTTAGGGTTATTGGTTCAGAACTCAATCGATTCGCGAATTTCGTCATTTTTTCCTTATTCAAACCTATATTTGATTTCGCCGTCGCAACAGATTCATCGACGTAGTCGTCATCTTCTTCTGCGACTTCATCTTCTTCATCGTCTTCTTCTTCTTCTCCATTGCTGTTGTCGTCTTCTTCTGGTTTTGGCTCGTCGTCGGCGTCGCCATTGTTGGAGATAGGGTTGTGCTCGGTAGTTAGTCGGTGGTTGGATTCTTCGGTTTGGACTGCCATAGTTGAGGAGAGAGAAAAAGGAAGGATGGAACTGAAGGTTGTGATAATGGCGGTTGCGACGGCGACGACGGCGGCGTAAAGTTGAAGAATGGAAGTGACGGCGAGATTATGGGTTTTACGGCCTCTTTGAAAATGGTTTTTAAGCTACAAGCTTACCTCACATCACGAAAGGTTTTCGATTTTCTGTTCTTCGGTCCATTTCTAAAACATTTTTTACTTTTATAAGTTTTTTTTTTTTTTTTTCTTCTTCTTTCTCTTTCTCTCTCGGGAAAGAAATAACTAATTCATTATCATTACTTAACTTTAATGAATTAGTTATTTCTAAAAAAATGGATGTTACACATTATCTGCAACAAACTAAAATTTTCCTCTTTTTACTAATTTTTTTTTGTATAATTACCAATTTACCATTACTTAACTTTAATAAACACATCAAATCACATGTTATTAATCTATTAACCTAAATTAGTTCATCCATTATTTAAACCTAACCCACATTCTCTCTCCTCTCTCACAACCACATCCACCAGACCACCACCAACACCACCACCACGTTTTCTCTCTCCTCCATCTCAGCCACCACCACCACCACTTTTCTCTCTCTTCTTTTGGATCTCACAACCACCACACTGCAACCACGCACCACTCGATCAGTTTGATCGCTGCCCCTTTTCCTCGTGACAGTTGCCACCGCTTTCTCCTCCCCTCGTCAGAGCCGCCGCCACCTTTTCAACCCTTCTCAAAGTCGCCGCTCCTCCTTAATTTAGTAATTAATTAGGAAAAAGGAGAATTTGAGATTAAGCTTGAAATCTCAGATCTAAAGCAAATTTGGTGAAAGATGGCTTGATCGTGAAAGATCGTGGTTACGGAGTGGGTGTGAGGTGTCTTCGTGGTGGGTAAGATAGGTGAGGGGTAAGTTATGGTGGCCGTGAGTCAGGCGGGGTGGGTTTTTGGTGGTTATGGTGGCGGTTAGAGGGTGGTTACGGGGTGGGTTTGTGGTGGCTATGAGTTGGGTGGGGTGGTTTTGGGCATGTTTCAAAGCTTGTGGTGGTGACAGGGTGGGTATATGGTGGTTTCGGTGGTTAGGGTGGCGTGGGTGTTTATGTGGTGGTTGTGCGGCCGATTGGTGTTGCTGGTGGAGTATGTGGGTGTTGGCGGTGGAGTTCTTTTTCTCTCTCATCCAATTAATCACATGCCCCTCTATTTCTTAATCTTTGTTCAAGAAATTTTGTCTTGAGAATTGTGCAAGCTAGTTTTTTGCAGATAATACGTAACGGAGGAAGTAGAATTGTTCAAAAAAAAAATTCAACAAAATAGAACGAGTAATAAAATAAGGTCTCTAAAGGGAAGTTCAGCAAGTAATTAAATACGGAGGGAATAATCCGTAAAAATAATTTCAGTTCAATAAATAAGTTCAGTTCAGTAAAAATAATTTCAGTTTAGTAAAAATAAGTAATTTTAAAGAAGAATTACAATAGGGAATTTAAAAATATTTTAAGTTCAGCAAATATAATTTTAATTTAGTAAAAATAATTTAAGTTGAACAAAAATAATTTCAATTCATTAAAAATAAGGTGAAGTGAAACGGGCCTTATTTTGTTAATTGTATTAAGAAAAATCAATTTTATTAGCGAGGTAAGCAAAAAAAATTGTAAATTAAGTGGCAATTACATAAGTAAATCAATAGCTTATATTTTTGCAAAATGACAAGTTTATCAAGGAAATATGGCAGTTTAGTAAATAAATCAACCTATTAATTTATTTATGAAATTGCCACTAGTATTGTATTTTTTTGTTTATCTTCGTGATTAATTAAAACTTACTCGTATGGAATTAGTTCAACATACCTTAAATCTTGTTTGGTTGCTGGTAATAAATGGTGATATTGATAATTATTTATAATTTAGTTTGTGAATTGATTTTCTCATTTCGTTTGTTAGGGTTGGTGAGTGCACAGCAGAAGCGGAGATGTGTTTGATTGAGAAGTATAAATTGAATTGATAATTTGGCTAGATAATTAATATAAAAGAACGCACGATTTTGTGTTACAACGAGCACTTTTATTCCACTATTTGAAAGTAGGAGAATACAGGAACTCTTGAGAGGGTGAGTATTACAAGAAAACTCTCACCATAAGAAACTCACAAGGAGTATTATGATAGTAGTGGAATATTACAAGGAGGGAGGATATTTTTGTAGAAAGGCTTGTGTTTGGTATGACTTCTTGTGTTGTGCTTTTGTGTTGTGTTGTTTTGAATGCTCTTGACCTATATTTATAGGTGTAGATGGAGGTTGGAAGATTTGTGTGGAAACTTCCACATTTGTAGATATTTTTAAACTCTCCGCATAAATCTAGAATTTTCATTGGCATTTAATAATTCTAGATTTTTCCTCAATTCTCCATCCTTCTTGTGTCCATAATATTATAGAAAATTCAAGTAGGATATTATTTTGGAAGCCTCTAGAATATGGATAATACTTCGACCAAAATAATGGGCTTATAAAATTTGGGCCATACCCAACACCGTTAAAAAAAAATAATAAAATAAATAAAATAAAAAATAAAAAATTCTCGTTAATACCCATGCATGGTAGTGTTAGTCTCTTCTCAAAACATGTTTCTCGTTAAAGATCGACTTTATTTCATACTTGTATTACAATGCAACAATTTAAAAAATAATAATATAAAAACACTCATCGACCTCACATAACATTTATGCAACTTAAGTAGTACTTGGTATGTGTTTCTCATCAACTCCTAAATACTACTATCGCCGTCTCAATTTAAGTGACACTTCTTTCATTTTAATTGAATTGTCCCAACTTAATACTCCGCAAGTTTTTACTTACTTCTAATTATTAAGCTGACCAAAAGATAGGAGGGAATCACCATCAAGTCGAAAAATACGCCAATCTTTCAAAATATGAGCTCCTAACTTCTCATAAAACCTATGAGAATCCACATTCCAAGTAATGACAGTCCACTCCATTCTCGCATACCCCAATCTCACAGTTAAGTTCGCAACCGCCTTCATCAATAGTTTTCCAAAGCCCATACCGCGATAACCTTTCCTTACGAACAAATCTTCCATATGAATCCCGGGTTTCGTAAGAAACGTCGAGTAGCTCGAGAAGAAGATCACAAAACCCGCGATTATTGTCCCTTTTTCGGTACGAAAAAGGGACTCCTCGGGGTCATTGATGAGGTGATTAACGTGTACGGTCTTGTGAATAGTGTCGGGCTCGAATTTGTGACCTGCCAGATCAATAGCGCGGCAATTCTGGTGGGGAGGTACTGGGAGAGCAGTAGGGGAGACTTCAATGAGGAATACACTGACAGTACTGCTGAAGGGGTTTGAAAGAGGCTGGTGTTTCGAGTTGAAGAGGGCGGCGAAGAGAGAGGTTTCAGTATCTTCACATTCGTGAGCGAGATTGTAGTACTCGGCCATTTTATGGATGAGTTTGTTAATGAAAGGAACGTCTGATTCGGTTGCGAGCCGAACTCGAGCGTTCAAAATGTGATCGTTGGATTGTTGTTGGTGTTCTGGGAAGATCATGATTGGTTCTAGTGCCATTGATGGAGTTGCCGGACGAGGACTATAATTGAGAGGGGAGACAAGATAGGTTACGAGTTTGTTATTTTTGGAAATGTACGAACGTTAGGGTTTGTGGAGAGTGTATTTATAACACGTTGTCTCTGTGGATTTGTTTGGCGTGTTACCTTTTATCTTACGCTAAATATTTCACTTTAAAGTTTTAAAAGAAAGGATGGATGAGAATTAAATTAAAATCGTAATAATATACCCTCATTGACTCACTTTGGGATGCTCGTTGCTCTGCCTCTCCCAAGTCTCAAACTCGCTCTCAATCCTCTCATTCTCTCACAACAACTGATACCCTAAGTACTTTGTAGCTCGTCGCCGTCAGTCGTCACCGTCGGCCGTCAATCTCACCACCACTGTCACATTCAAGCGTCGCTCTCAACTTCTCAAGTCTGTCTTAAATCTGCTGCGTGCTCTAGCTCACGTATCGTTCGTTGCTGTTTAGGGTTGCTGACCTTGCTGTCACCTGCTGCTCGTGCTAGCCTTCTCTTACCGTTGTTCGTCCTCAGCCACCACCCACGCACCAGTCTCATTGTCGCCCGTCGTCCGTCGTCAGCCACCAGGTATGGTTCTCTACTTTGTTTTTTTTTTTTTTTTTTTTTATAAATTCAATTAATTTTCTGAAATTCAATTGCTCCTTCATGTATACATTCAATTAATTTAACTTTAATTTGATTAGAATCAGGAACAAGTGTACATAATTGATCCTTCATGTATACATCTTGTATACTGTAATGTAATTCAGAAATGAAGAACTGAAAATTTGATTTTTGATACTTTAATGTATATTGTATAGTTGGCTAGTTGTTGGACTTATATAATTAAACTTTAATGCATTTGATATAAGCATGAAAAACTGAAATTGTATTGTTGTTTTGCTGAAATTGTCAGGGATGGCTTCTAGTTCCTCTACTTCATGCAATGTCAGTGGTAGTAGTAATTCATCTAAGTCTATGAAAGACCCTTACCCTTTGTGGAAGTTTGTTGTTAAGGGTGATAGAATATCGGGTGGTGGAGGAAATTATAATTGGAAATGTAACTTTTGCGGCGAAGTTAAAAATGGTTCATACACTAGAGTGAAAGCTCATTTGCTAGGTGAACAAAGGAAAGGGATTCAAACTTGTAATAAAGTGAAAATTGATGACCTTGCTAAACTAAGAAAGTTTCATCGCGAATCCAAGGATTATAAAAAATCTTTGTTACCAAAAGTTCCACCTTTTTCAAATGAACTCATATCTTCTCACACATCAACTGAAGCTACATCAGTGAGACTAGATTCATCTGATAATGTAAAGAAGAGGAAATCAAACAATACAATTTTCGATGCTTTTAATATGAAATCTCGTGACCACTTGGATTCTGAAATTGCTAGAATGTTTTACACAGGGGGTTGCCTTTTAATCTTGCTAGAAACCCTTACTATGTTAGTTCATATACAATTGTTGCCAAGCCTCCTGGATACAACAAACTTAGAACAACTTTGCTTTGTAAAGAGACAAAAATGTGGATAGGTTATTACAACCTATTAAAGCCACATGGAAAACAAAAGGTGTTAACATTGTTAGTGATGGGTGGAGTGATCCACAAAGAAGGCCTTTGATTAACATTATGATTGCTTCTGAAACGGGTCCTATGTTTATGAAAGCTATTGATTGCTCGGGTGAGATTAAGGACAAAGATTTCATTGCTACCTTATTAAGTGAGGTGATTGATGAAATTGGAGATCAAAATGTTGTTCAAATAATCAAAGATAATGCAAGTAATTGTAAGGCTACAGGGGAGTTGGTTGAGGGTAGGTATCCTCATATATATTGGGCACCATGTGTTGTTCATACACTTAATCTTGCAATGAAAAGCATTTGTGCAGCTAAGAATGTGTTGAATAATTGTTGAAGTATATGATGAATGTCATTGGATAACGGAAGTTCATGTAAATGCCTTGTTCATTAAAAATTACATAATGAATCATTTGATGAGGCTTTCAATGTTCAATAAGTTTTCTCCATTAAAACTACTTTGCATTGCCGATACTCGTTTTGCTTCAATTGTGTGCATGCTTAAATGGTTGAAACTCCTTAAAACATCACTTCAATCAATGGTTCACTACTACATTTGAGAGCTAATCCAACCCCTATTTCCGTTGTATTAGGTGCTCAAAACCGTTGTAATAGACCTAATACAACGGCTAGCAACCGTCACATTTTCTAGGGTTGGATTAGGTCTAATACAACGGTAAAAGGAACCTAATCCAACGGATTAGGCAATCCGTTGGATTAGGAATCCTGTCCAGATTGTCCAAGTCCAGAAGTTCAACTGATCAATGTCTTCGCATCGTAATTTTGGTATTGATGTATCTCTAAATCATTAGAATTTAAAAAAAGAAAAACTAAGTTATGAAAAATTGAAAAACGAAAAACGAAGAACGAAGAACGAAAAATTGAAAAATCTGAAAACGGATATAAAAAAAATTGAAATTCTGAAAAAAAAAACCCAGAAATCAAACCCAGATCTGAAAAAAAACCCTGAAATTGAACAAAAACACGAACTCAGAAAAAGCTAACCCAGAAAAAACGAACCTTGAATTCGAAATCGAACCCAGAAATCAAATTCGAACCCAGTAATCGAAAACAAACCCAGAAATCAAAATCGAACCAAGCAATCAAAATCAAACCCAGAAATCGGAATCGAACCCAAAAAAAGGAACCCAGAAATCGAAAAAACAAAAAACAAAAAAACCAACCCAGAAGAAACGAGATCGAACCCAGAAATTGAACAAAAAAAATAATCTGAAAAAACAAGAACAAAAAAACAAAAAACGAAGACGAAAACAAGATCTAAACAACGATCTGAAAAACGAAAAAAAAAACGATCTGAAAAACAATTAAACCCAGATTTCAAACAAAAAAACAATCTGAAAAAACAAGAACAAAAAAACAAAAAACAAAGACGAAAACAAGATCTGGAAAACGAAAAAAACCCGATCTGAAAAACAATTAAAAAGCGAAAAACGATCTGAAAACAAGAAAAACGAAGACGAAAACAAGAAAACGAAAACAAGATTTGCAAACGATCTTAAAAACCAAAAAAAAAAAAAAAAAAACTGATATTACCTTATAAACTCAAGTCAAATAGGAAAGAATGAGAGGCGAGAGAGTGTTCGAGAGAGAGAGAATGAGAGAAGACGAGGATTCGAAAGAGAGAGAATGAGAGGCGAGAATGAGGGAGAGAGAATGAGGAAAGTTGAGAGACGCGTGGGTTATAAGCTAGGCTAATTAATATCCCGACTTTTCTTTTTTCTTTTTTTTTTTTGATCCGTTGTATTAGACTAGGTCTAATACAACGGGTTCTTATTCTAATACAACGGTTAGGATAAACCGTTGTATTAGACCTGTTTTAGTATAAACCGTTGTATTAGCCTAGTCTAATACAACGGTATGAAATTAGCCGTTGTATTAGCTAATTTTGTACCGTTGTATTAGATTAAAAATGTAGTAGTGGTTATTAGTGAGAATTGGTCCTTATACAAGGATTATCGACGCGGCAAGCCTCACATGTATGGAAAATTTTTTTGGATGAAATATGGTGGGAAAAAGTTGATTACATTCTTGATTTCACACGCCCAATCTATGAGATGATTAGGGTTTGTGACACTGACAAATTTCCTTACATTTGGTTTATGAAAGATGGGACATTATGGTTCAAAAGGTGAAAGATGCCATCTACAAGAAAGAGGGTAAACTAGATTATGAAGAATCTACCTTCTTTAATGTAGTTAAAGGGATTCTTAGTAGTCGTTGGAGTAAGGGTAGTACATTACTCCATTCATTAGCACATTCTTTGAATCCAAGGTAAGTTTTACTTATTTAATTCATCTTTATTATCTTTATTTATTTTTCCTTGTTTTTTTATTTAATTTCTTATGGCTAATCTTATTTTGTTGTTAAAGATTTTACACGGAAGAATGGCTTAATGAGGTCCCGGGACGAGTTGCTCCAAATGCCGACAATGAAATTTTCACACAAAGATTACAATGCTTTCAAAAGCTTTTCCAAAGTCCCGATGAAAGATTCAAGATCAACACGGAATTTGCAATATTTTCACAAAAATCAGAGGGGATCTTTCTCAACATTGATTGCATGCATGATATGGTTTTGATGGATGCTAAAAATTGGTGGGCAGTTATGGTCCCCAAGTGCCTATGCTTCAAGGTTTAGCTTATAAGCTATTAGGTCAACCTTCTTCCTCTTCTTGTAGTGAAAGGAATTGGAGCACCTATAAGTTTATTCATTCTTATCTTGCACTAGAAATAAGCTTACTCCTAAACGTGCTCAAGACTTGGTATACATTCATAACAACCTTCGATTACTTTCTAGGAGAAGTGAAGAATACACTAAGGGGAGATCTAAGTTGTGGGATGTGGGTGGAGATGAGCATGACAACCTAGGAGAGGTTGGTATTCTAGAGATGACTGAGCTCTCACTTGATGAACCCGAGATGGAAAATATGATTTTTGATGATGTACTTGGTGATGGTGAAGAATGAAACTATTAGTACTTATGTTTATTTTATTTATGATTTGTAACACTATTATTAAGACATGTATTTGGTTTGATGGTTTCTTGATATGTATGAGACTATATTCGTACACTTTGTTTATTTACTTGTTTAATTAAAATTGTGTGTTTTGAGGCTAATTATTTAATGTTTTATTGAATAGGTTGTCAAATTCTCGTTTTTTTGATATATTATATGCCTTGTTATACGCCTTACCCGTGTCCCCTATTTCAGGATTGTTGTTTTCCCGTATTCGTATCGTGTCCGTGTCAATTTCCGTGCAACATAGGTCATAACCAACAATATAAAGTGAGGAGTAGGACATATGATTGAGATTGTCTTCAATTAGTCACCTAATTTGATTTGGTTTGTCATAATTCTTGATTTAACTAACATTAGCTTGTGTTTACACTACACCTTAAGAATACAATTATTTGCATGACATGCAGTGAATTTAATATTAATGTGTACACTTTTATTACAAAAATAAAGCTAGGTATTTGGATTTAATACGCAAATATTTAACATATTAACTCATATATAATAGAATTTGTTATATACACTCGGGTCATTTGCTCATTAATTTTTGGTCATTTATTTTGCTAATTTATTAAATGAGCAAAAATTAATGAGCAAATAATCCCGGGTGTATGGTATACTCGGGTGTACAGAATAGACTCTCCATATATAATATAACCAATGATAATATGGTAAATATTAAATACTATGAGCAAACTAAATTATGTTAAATTTGCTTATCAAAATTAAAGGAACAAAGTCATTTTTTCAAAAAAATTCACTTCTATTGAAATAATTATTGTACAACAAAATGTTAAAAAAAAAAGAAAGAGTAAATTGTGTGTTAAAAGGTAATCAAATGTTAAAAAAAAGAATGAATAAAATGTGTGTTAAAAGATAAACAAAACACTTTGTTTGAGTTGAATTTAAGCGAAATAAATACTGTACCACAAAATGTTAAAAAAAAAAAAGAATAAAATGTCTGTTAAAAGATAATCAAGACACTTTGTTTGAGTTGAATTTTTGCACATATGAGTGAAAGAAATTATTGATAAATAATGTTGCTACTCGACTTTATACTATCATTTGGCTTGCACAAGTCGTGTTCAAAATTTCAAAAATCTTTGTTGTTGATATGATCGATAATAATTTAGGTATTGATGTATAATGATTTCATGAAATGCTCCATGTAATAATCCGGTGTAGTGTGGATTTAGGCAAGCCTAAAAAAATAGTTTTACTAGTTAAAGTATGAATCCGTCCTGAAAAATTGAAAAATCTATTTATGCCTTTTTTTTTTTTTTTTTTTTAATCGTCTCTACTAGGGAGAATTGGATTTTTTTTTAATTTTTTTTCGTTGAAAGAATTTAGAATTGGATCTTTAGCTTATGCAAACAATATATATATTTTTTTGGATCTTTAGCTTTTCATATGGGCCTCAAAACCCTCAAAGTAGTCACATACTACTCTAAGGTCTCTAACGGCTAAACGCCTTCATCAAAATTCAAATTCTCACTTTCCTCTTCCTCTCCCCCTTCCCTCATCCCAAAGCTCTGTAACAGAGCAAAAATGGCGAGCACAAATCACAACGATCTCTTCTCATCTCTAATCTCCGACATCAAATCTTACTCCGGCAACGACCCTCTTCTTCCATGGCTCAGGTAACCCACTTTCTCTCTCCTCCCTCTTTCTTCTTCATTAATTTCACTACCTTTCTCACCAACTTGCTCGAAATCAATGGCAGCGGAGTTCGCAATATGAAGAACAGCTTACCACCCCATCTCCTCAAAGAAAAACTCCCTCGATTTCTTCAAAAATGCGCTCAGACTTTCGATTCGAACCGCCGTTATCGCAATGACCTCCGATATCTCCGCATTTGGTTGCAATTGGTAATTATTTCCCCTTTTTTTTCTTAATTGATTGAATTTTCAGTTCAAGAATCTGTGAAAAAAGTTTAATTGATTTAGGGTTTCAATTGTGGAGTGTAGATGGATTTTGTTGATGATCCGAAGGCGTTGTTAAGGACTATGGAGATGAAAAAAATTGGGGTTAAGCGGGCTTTGTTTTACCAGGCTTATGCGCTTTATTATGAGAAGATTAAGAAATTTGATGATGCTGAGAAATTGTATCATTTGGGGGTTCAAAAGTAAGTAACTGTATAATTTATTTGGTAGTTTTTATTTTTTTGGTCGAATTTGAAGAATGCAAATGAAATTATTTAAGGGGAAAAGTGTATAATATGTATATTGTAGCTGTACTATGTAAGCTTGTGGTATATTTCATCAATGTGGGTTGTATAGCTGTCGAAAATGGGGTTTTGGGTGAAACCCTAAAGGTTTTTTTTGTTGATCATTTGTGGTAAGTGGGGTTGAAGAGGGAAGACCTTATTACTGCCTTTTTTTACTCTTGGAAAGAAAAAATATGAACTTAATTGAACAAGGTAGAGTGTTTTTCTAGTGAAAATGTGAAATGTATCATATGTTTCGATTTCCAGCATGTTTGTTTTCATAGTAAATGTTTCAAATAGGGTTTTAGGGTGTAATGACTGTAATCTGATCATATTTCTTGTTTGGAGTTATGAAAGGTGAACTTTAGAAGTTTACACATTAGCCTTTTTGAAAGAGTGGAGGTTCATGTGGCTATGATTGGAGTTTGGTTATGAATGAGGAAATAGTTAGCTATTCCTCAAGAGCTAATTGCTAATCACGATGTGGAGGAGAACAATATACAACTTTTATGCCCAACCAAAGAGCTAAGTAGAATGGAATACTGTCTTTTGTCTTAAAGTAAAGGTCTTATGTTTGATTGAAAATGTCTGATTATGTTTGCACAGAGCTTATTCATAGTACTTGATGGTTGGAAGATTCTTTCAAAAAAGTCTGTGCCTGATTGAAACAAAACAATTAATTTGGCATGGTACAGTCTTAGCCTCATAGACAATTTTACGGTGAAATCTGAACACCTTTATGATGTAATATTTACGAAAATAGCACATAGCCCTTTTATTAATGAATAGAGGCTCATGTACTTAGCCAGAGATAGGATGCAAAGGAGGGGAAAATTAGCACTTCTTTGGGTTTGTACTTAGCATCTGAAAACCTCGCAACGTATCCAAATTTATTAGCCTTGAACTTATCTGAGCTTACTCTGAAACCGAAAACTAATTTTGTCAGCCCTGAAGTAAATTTAAGCCTATACTCTGAACTTAGTAGCCTAGTATTAATCTTATGTGATTCATAGAAACTGAACTTATTTGAAGGGAAACCTGTGTTATTTTTCTAGGTGAAAGGAACATTAGCCTACTCCAAAATTGAAATATATATATGGAAGATATTTCTCTTTGATGTCTGACACTGATCAGCAGTTCTCTGCTAATCCCTATGTGGAGGAGAACATTAGAAGTCCATTCAAATATGGGCTATGTGGAATGGAATACTGGCTTATATCTCAGAATATTGTCTAGTGTTCGATTGGAGACGTTTGATCATGTTTGAACTTAGCTTTCTGATAGTATGGTTTTTGGATGTTTTTTTCAAAAATTCAAAATATTCTGTGCAGATGGAAACAAAGGAATCAATTTGGCATGGTGAAGTCACAGGCGACTTAGTATAGTTATTGTTCCATTCAATTTATTACTACAGAGAAGTGACATGAATTGCTTGACTGTAAAATGTGATTATGACTCAGGAGGTTTACACTTTACACATAGCTGGTTTTAAATACCAGTAGGAGTTTGATGCAATCAATCAAGAACTAAGATTCTCCAGTTTCCATGTATACTCAGTTTAATGGTGTGCTTGTGTCCATCTGTGTCCTAGCTATTGACAGCGGGCCATGCATGAACTGATATCATTTATGTTAGGCATTAAGTATGAAATCTTTGTCTTCTTTCAGTCCTCTATAGTTTTTTATTTCATGCATTAGGATGTTTGAGTATTTAATTTGTGCTTCAGGGTATTATTCATGTCCTGTGAACTTCTGTGAAGCCTTGCAGAACCTTTAGATGAATTGCAGAAATCATATGAGCAGTTTATTCAACGTATGAAGCGGCACAGGAACAAGAGAGTTCAGGTTCCTCCAATTCTATTCTCAAACTTTTAACCGCTTTATACTTGAAGGGACCAAGAAGAGTTTGTTAACACATTATTTTGACACAGCGTGAGGAGAGGAGAACTAAGCGACCTCTGTCTGATCATAATACCACTGGCCAAGGTTGTAGCGTTGTGGAGAATAATGAAAATTTATGCAGAGTTATTGGAAGTTCCATTGAGCAAGAGCATACCTATTCTAGGAACATATTAACAGAATGTTCTCAGAATATGATGCCACTAAATAAAGTAAAGGAAAATGCTGGTAGCAAGTTGTACCGAGATGATTCTGTTGTGGCCAAGTTTGTAGATTCTGCAATTGTTGGAAGGTCTGAAGCAGAAGATGCCTGTCACCATGGCCTGGTAGAACCTACCATAAACATGAAAGAGGCTATGAATGCCATAAATAGCATGTTCAAAGAACCCATAGAGCCTGCTAATGTTGTTCGAAGAACATATAGAGGGCAACCCAAGGTAGATCAGAGCACAAGCAATGTACTCGAGGTGTTTATGGATGAGAATCCGGATAATATGGTTGGATCAACCTGCCAAAGTGACGAGGAAAAATTTCTAGTGCCAAAAAATAAAACTGATCAGTCTCCCCAAGAACCACTCAAGATCTTTGTTGATGACGAGATGAGCAATGATTCTGAACCAAGTGAGACCCAAACGTCAGCAGATGACTCCCCGTCATCTTCTTCCAAGGTTGATGCGTATGTATTTCTTAGGCCTCAAGATCATCAGTCAGAGTCTTCCAATGAGATGAAAGTGGAGAAATCATCCAGAAAGACTAGAACCAAATTTAGGGAGGACACAGTTGTTCGTAGATTTGTTGGTTCAGCTATTCTGGATGAACCAGAGGTGGAAAATATCTGCCACCATGGCTTGGTGGATCCAACAATTAATCTTAAAGAAGCTATGGAAGATATTAATGACATGTTTGGGAAGCCAATTGATTTTGTCAGGACCACCAGAAGGAAAAGGCAGGAAAAAGCAGCCGTGTCAGAAAATAACGATTTTGGTGGGTTTTCAATTCTTGCTGATGATGAATTCAATAATTCGGAAGGTCCACGACCTCCACGAAAATCTTCAAGCAAAGATAACTTTGACTTACATGAACTAACCATTTTCACAAAAGAAGCTATGGATGATATAAATGACCTCTTTAAGATGCCATTGGACTTTTAGGGAATGATACTTGTATTGCTTCTTTTTAGGGTGCAAACAAAATTTGCTTATGTTATTATGTATTTGTACCATTGCTAAACTTTTGCCTATAGTGTTGCCTTCCCCTAATGGCTAATGCTCAAATTTGAAACGAATGGATCTATTTATCCTATCTTCTGTTCTACTCATTTATTCGTAATTTTTTTATTTTATTTTATTTTATTTTTAATTGTAAACACATGCTTACTTAACTATGTGGATTTCTTTCACCAATTTTGCACCTCTATTGGTAGTCTGAGATCATCAGAATTGTATCAAGGCAAAGAGAAATGTTATTTCTGACTGCTGAGTAAGAAAATGTTAATGCTTAGTATTCATGAACATACAAAATGGCTCTCATATTTAGACAAGAACCCCACAAGTCACATACAATACGCCAAAGTTAGTAAACTGAGGCGAGGATAATAAACTAATCACACAAAAATAAATCAGTATTCGTCAGGAGTACAGTATTCAGGGAGGAAGGCCAAAGGACCAGCAGCATAAATCACAGCGTCGTAATTCTTGGACATTATTTTCTTCTTCTCAAACCGAAGCTTAGCTCCGTTTTCACCATAGTTGATGTTAGTGTAGGCATCACAGCTTTCGAGAGGGGAAGAAACCAGCTTCACTACACAAGCCTGAAGAGGATGATCCAGATACGGATGCCTCATCGAAAATCCCTGAAGCTGAGCATAGAAATAGCCTTCGTCGTTTGCAGTGAAGGCCTTGTAGTAGGTGATTCTGTTCCTGTAATTCCTGCAAGTAACACTGACTACAGCACCACCAATGGGCTTTGCATCTTGGAAAGACCATGATCCTGAGTGCTTGCAGCTCTGACAGTAGACTACCCCTTCCACCACAACATCAGATACTATTTTAGGTGGTGCATATGGTTTTGGATATGAACTTTTATGCTCTCCATATCCATCCGCGCTTGCATAAGTAACGGCTACAGCTAGGAGCAAAACTGATAACAGAAACAAATTATGGGTTCTTGCCATTTTCTTCTTCTTGTTTTTGTGTTTAGGAAAATTGGATTATGTTTTTGTTTTAGGAATAGAGGGATTAATATGGGGTATTTAAAGTTTATAATCTGAATAATTGTTCAACGTACGTGGGTGCTACTAAGGTTAGTGTCAACTGTCAACACCCATTTTTAATTCAGAAAATGGACTCTGGACATGCAGGCAACTACTGCAGCCTGCAGGCTTCAGTAGAAAGGAGAAGATCAACAAAAACAGAAGTAGTGGTGGTTGACGTGAAGAACATCATATAAAATATAATTTGTATAAAAAAAAAATAGAAGTATTCATTTAAATTCATGATCAGGTGCAGATCACTTCACCGCCAATTGGACCGATCTGTGATACCTTGAATTCTAATGTTATGTGTTATCCAGGTTCAAGCAGACCTAGATCAGAAAAAAGGAAATGAACCTAAATTACCTTATCTGAATTGTCAACTATGATTGAAAATTAATATGATTAATTTTATCATATTTAGGACGATTTAAATAGATCCGAACTAAACCAAACGATTGATCATCTAGGCATGACTCAAATCCATTGAACCAAAATGAAGCTGATCTGAAGGTTCCACTTCCACATGAGTTTCTTTTACAGGAAAGAAACTACACGTGTGTGAAAATTTTGCTCAAAAAATTACATTAGACTGTACAGAGTTAAGGAAATTTTAATCTGAAACTTAACCCAATAAAATGTCCAAATTAAATACAAGATGTTTTTAATAGGGTGCCCTTAAAAAAAGATTTTGGAGACAGGATTTGAACTTTGCTAACCAATCTGTAGGAAAGGTTGACTTTCTATTAAAAAAATATATGCATTAGAAGTTTGGAGAGCCCAACTTCAGACAACAAACACAGAAATGGATTTTTTTTTCCCCCTTCTTTTTTAAAAAAGGTAGGACTTCATATAGTTACAGTAATATAGAATCATCAAGTGTACTTCATACTTTATAAATACGACATCAAACTTTACATGCTAAATTTGTACCGTAACAAGCAAATGAAAAAATGTAACTGCTTTATATTTCGAGATAAATAAAACCAGCAAAAACACTCAAAAACCATTAATTATAACTTCTAGGTTCCATTTACAGAACGAGCATCAAGTTCTGTCCACCAAAGAGAGGAGAATCGTGGTACAGCTTTATCCGGTATAATGCCTGTTATTTCCTTCAATCTTGCAGTAACTTCTATCATTGTTGGTCTATTTTGTTCAGAATGAAGACATTTTCTTGTTACCTCACTAATTTTATCGAGCTGCTCTGGTTTGAAATGTCTTAACATGGGGTCAACCATTTCTTTAAGAAGTTTCTCCCCTCTCATATATTCCAACACCCAACCATCAAGTGAGTTGTTTTCCGCGGAATGAGGGATACGACCAGTCATCATTTCTAGAAGCAACAAGCCAAAACTGTAGACATTGCTCCCGGGTTCAACTGATGTTGTACTTACACTGCTCAAGCCAATAGCCAAAGGCTGCACTCGTGGAACAGCCACTTCATTCCAAAAGCAGAAATCGGAAATTTTTGCGGCATAATCTTCAGAGAGGTTCACTGCTGATGAGTTGAGGTTTGGGTGAGTCACTGGTGGTGTTAGTTGGTGCATATGCTCAAGGCAGTATGCCATTCCCATTGCAACCCTCAGCCGCATAGCCCAATCTAAATGCTCGGCTTCCTTTACTGCAAAACATAACCAGGATGATAAACTCAATCAGCTAGCAGAAATATTACAATCCTGATCACATTTTTTTTTAACTCTACTAGATTTTTTATTTTAAGGTTAATCTTATTCGAAATAGTTTAACATGGATAATCTCTCTCGGTTTTCCCTCTTTATAAAAGGAAGTCTTTTATGTTCTGAAACTAGAGGTATTACTTCTGTAGTTTCTTATGCCAGACAATATCTGAATTAGCAGCATAAGTACATAATCCCATCAGTACACAGGTCCAAGAACTATCTGTTCCAAATTATATTAAACTGAAATTAGTTGCTAATCTAGCATAGGCTGTCAGCTGGCCCAGCAATATTTCTTCAAAGTGCAGTACTACAGAATCAGAATATTGTTTCTGCAGTTCATTAGGTTCTCCGTAATAATCACATACGTTTCAAATAAATGTCTGTTCCTTAAAACATTATAGAGCAACATTCATCCAATATCCTCATTCCGTCCTTCACTCAAAGCAAGCCAAACAAATTGGGATGAGTGGAGCAACAGTTCTTGCTTCTATACTAACTTTGAATGAGTTTAGTTTTTTTTTTTTTTTTTTTTTGAAACAGAATGAGTTTAGTTAGTTCAAGTACATGAATAGAGAGATTTGAGGTAATTTCAAGCTTCAATCTTTTTAAACGACAATAGAACAAAAAGAACACAGTTTATTTATCTAGCTATCACCACATTGCATCAGTCTACAGTCTGAAGATAAATTTGAATGAGTTAGATACTCACCATGCAAATGCTCAAAGAGTGAGCCATTTGGAGCATATTCAAAAACCATCATTCTAGTGAACGGCTCCTCTTCCTCGCAATAGCCTATAATATTGACAAAATTTTTGTGGTTCACCTTCGATAAAGTCTCAATCTGGAGAACGAAAAAGGGAACAAAATCTATTAATTAAGCATTTCAGTCCAAGATAATGTTCATAACTTGCTCACTTTTTTCTCTATCAATTTTACCTTTTTCCTGAACTGTGTTTCCAGATTTCTTGACCAATCCTTGGCAGAAGCTGCCACAAGAGATATAACGGCTATTTCAACGCCATTTGAAAATGTTCCCTTGTATATCGTACCAATAGATGATGATCCAATGACATTGCTGAAATCTTCACAAGCAGTTATAAGCTCAGACCTCTTCAGATTTGGCATCCCTGCAATGGAAATTCGTAACGGTTAAACTTTTGTACATGAAAATGTAAAAAAATATAAAAAGAAAGAACATATATTAAAGAAACAAAGATATAGTTCTCGATTAGTCATAACAGAAGCTGAAATTATGGTATTTTGGCACTGCTTAACGATTGAAGGGTTGTTAGTAGTTTCAACATGCTACTATAATCAAAGGCAACAATATTCAATACCTAGTATGGATCTTGTTGTTGTACCAGAATTCCAGAAGAATGAATCTATGTAGCATAATCCTTAGTTAGATAGTCTACACTAGTAGGGTTTACGGATTAAGAAGAATGCGTTCCCTACAATTCTTTGAGCGAAGTAGTAAAATAAAAGTAACAAACAATATTCTCTACATGATTAGTTATAAAAAATAATCTAAAAGCTGACATAAAACTAGGAAGATTCTAACCTTCGATAAAGCTTGGCTTATTACTGCTGAGTCCATCTGATCTGTCATTACCTAATGTTCAAATAACAAAATTTTACACAACTTTAATTCTCTTAAACTTCAACATGTCCATGAGAGAAGAAAATTTTAAAATAAATAAATAAATAAAGAAAGAAAAAAGAGTAATAAAAATATAAACCTGCAACAAATGCTCTCTTAAGCTGACCACTCAATCCTGTTGCCTTTCTGATCCTGTTGCCTCGTAATAGGAATAATAATAAACCAACTAGAGTTAATGCGATAAATCCACCTACTGCTCCAGCCACTATTGGAATTAACTTATTACTTGAATTAACAGTTGATGGAGTAGGGGGAGGTTGTGGAGGCGGCTGTAGTGATGAGGATTCTTTTGTCAAATTAGGTGTTGGGATTCTAAAAGCAGGATCTGATGATGGAGGGGGTGGGGATTTTCTCGTAAGAATTGATGGGGCCTTTGCAATTGGAGATTCAGCAGAATGATGATGATTAGCTTCAACACCTGCACGTGCCTCATCAGGCTCAGAACCTCGAGCTTCACCTCGAAGTTGCTCTTGTAGTATCCTCGAATGTACAACCTCTTCTGCATGATCATTTTGCCTAAGGTTAAGAGCAAGTTGTCATCAGCACTTCACCAAAGAAAACAACATTTTACCCTCAAGAAGCAAATCGTTTAATCTCAATTATTTCTATGCTAAGCAGTTTCATTTAAGAGGAATCTTAATGCATAGGCCTTAATTCTTAAACATGTAGCCAGAGAAATTCTCTTGTAGATGTATTGCTGATAAATAACCTGTAAATCCTCCCTACAGTCATGTGAAATGTCCCACATTACCTAGGATGTGGTAATACTTCCACATAATTATTCAGCTGGCTCTTATCTTCATGAATTTCAAGAAGCGTCGTATCTTCTACATCAGGAGACATGTGGCAGGATAATCCATTGTTGTTTAATAAACTGCAGATTAAACAGGGGTGGGACATAATGACTAAAGAGAAAACAACATTGTATCAGAATATTCTCTGTAGTATGTATGCAAATATGTTGCTGCAACTTACAGGGTTGGGATGTTTTGTTCAATTTCGCGTGGAATTGGTTCGCAAAATCTATTGTAACCCAAGTCTAGCAACTCCAACTCTTTCAAATTTCTATATTCTTTAGGTATGAATCCAGAAAAGGAATTGTTCCTTAATATGCTGCAAAAGACTTCAGAGTGACATAAATGCAAGAAAAGAGAGAACAAAATTACAAACAGTATTATACTTCATATGTTTTAATATATTCTTACATAGACTTTATGTGCAGCAGATGGTGAAGTTCTGGAGCTAGTGTTCCCTCAAGGCAAAGATTTATCAAGTTCCTGTAAAATTTACTACAGCTTAGGACATAAACAACATATAAAAGATTGTATACCGATTGAATACTCATCAAACATTAGCACAATAATAGTCCAAAAGCGTACCACTATACCTATTATATATTACACGTAACAAATCACACATGTCAGATTGTTTACTAGTTCAATAAGGGATAAGTGCATTGTCAGTTTTGATGACTAAGTATGGCTATGTTCATCACACCTTGCCTTGATTTCACTTGTTTCAGAAGTTTCGAGTTCAAAACTTAACAAAAGGCAAATAGGTTCAAACAAGTCTTGTGGAAGTATATCACAACAATCAACCGGCACAAGCTCCTACA